GAGACGGTTTCGTTGTCTCTCACACGGTCTCTCTCTCTCTCTCTCGCTCGCTCTCTCTCTCTCTCTCTCTCTCTCTCTCTCTCTCTCTCTCTCTCTCTCTCGCTCTCTCTCTCTCTCTGCAATAAAAAAAAAGTGTGGTGAAATGATGTGTACGCAACTGCGCATCTGCGTTATGGTAGCTACGCGCCTGTGACATAGAATCGTCCGAACTATTTTGGTCAGAATATTGCTTATTGCCTGTTTCTCTGTTACGAATCTATCCTTGAAATTAAGTAAAAAAAAATTATGAAAAGGTAAACCGAGCCACCCGCTACCCTAGAGTGTCAGTTGAGAATTAGCCTTGCGTGTATACGATGCTGGTGGGAGGGTGATTACTATCTTCTATTCATCTCGGAATCTCTACCCGTAGATTGAGTCCGTGTGGCTGGATAGTGTTTATATTCTGAATCCAGTACGCTTCTCTTTCCTTTCTAATGGGGATCGTATGGGTGAAGGGGGTGGGGGAATATTTTAGAATTAAGTAAGTATATGTGGCTGAATTTACTCTTAAAAGTTGTTCCTAATATAAGCGTTTTTCCCCGAGCAACGCCGGGTACCAGGATAGTATACATATATCGTTGTCTGTAGTAGCTGGCGGGGTCGTTTATTGATTATTTACGCTTGCGCATGGTGACACATAGATTAATCAGCACTCAATGTGCGAGAGACTATATACCGAAGAAGGCAAGTGTAAACGATATATATTGATAGATTTATCTGGTTATAATCTGATGAACAGAAAGACTGCGGCTTGCAGTAGAAAAAGTTTAAATTTTTTCAATTAACTAAACAAGATCGAATGAAGAGAATTCCATTCTAGGGCAGTAATAACCTTGTAACCTCCTGAGGATTAATCCTCAAAGTCCAAGGAACAGAGAGACACACACAGCGAGAGAAAGAGAGAGAGAGAGAAAGTGTGGCATAGAGAGAGAGAGAGCGAGAGCGTGCGCGCGCGAGAGGGGGGAGGAGTTACCAAATCGATTGATTAACGCTGCAGATTTCAGTTTAAAAAAGTTTCAATTTACAATTAACCGTAGTAAAAGAACGAGAATTCAAATATGGAATGACAGTTATTAGCCTCTATGAAATGATTACCCATAACAGTAGCTAGAAGAGGACGCAAGTGCAGTTAGTACTGTTATATTGACCTCTGCATCGTTGCGAAAGATGCAGAATGCTCGAGAAAAGCGACCAATTAAGCAGAGATGTGAAGCAAATATGGGAGATAAATGAGCGGGAGTAGAGGAAGATGCTCAAATTTAATAAGTACGGGAGTTAAAGCGAAGGAAGAATTAAGGTGAATGTGATATATGAGTGGAAAAGGTAGAGGATGGGGAGAAGATATAGGATGCGGATGAACTGGGATCGGGATGAAAGGGAGAGACGTACGGCAGTGGGGGGGGATAAAGCTAAGGAGGAATAGCTGAGGAAGCAGACGAGGTAGATAAATGAGTGGAAATGATGGTGTAGTAGAAGCGAGAACAATATAGCTTCCATTATGCTTCTCTTTTCGTTCTGATGGGGATCGTATGGGTGAAGGGGGGGGGTGAACATGTTATAGAATTAAGTAAGTAAATATATGTGGCTGAGTTTGCTCTGAAAAGTTGTTCCTATGCGTTTTTCCCCGAGCAACGCCGGGTACCAGGTTACTATATGATAAAAGCGAAAATATACTTATTAAAATCTATATGTTTAAAAAAGAGAGCAAAGATTCTCAAGTAGTTTGAAGCAAATATGTTTATTCCCAGTACGTCACTTTATTATTACTAAGATACAGCTGCTTCGCTACATCTTGATTGCCCGCAAAAATCTACAAATGCATTTTCATGCCGTTAGTCGGCGCTAGTGTCGCGCACAATTAGTAGTGAGGGGACCAAAGAGTATATATTATTATTTTTAACTATACGTTTAATACTGAGACCAGAGACTGATGAGTAGTGCATGTGAAAAGTGACAAAGCTAATGAATTATTTTATTAATTAAACGTTCCTGTTCTTCCTAACATTCCTATAATGTGTTATAGATTAGTTCGTCAGACCTCGATCAGAGCGCGCATGCCCTTTAAGAGACAACGCGCCGAAATGCTGGTACCCAGAACCCCTATATACATTAGTATAAGCCCATGTGAAGGCTATGGTATTGCCTACCAAGTGAAATATTGCGATCGGGATTTGTGATGAACACCCACTGCTGGCTGATTCCTCTATTTATCTAAACAAATGAGATCGACTGAATAGCATTCTTATTAAGAGATATAACCAATATAGTTGCCCGCACCCCACCATATGCACGCATGAGTATAGGATCATGATCATGTGTAAGGCAGGACATTTTCTCTCAAGTGATATATTGAGATCGGGATTCGCGATACGCGCACGCGCCTCTCTCGCTCTCTCTGTCTATGTGTGTGCATGTGTGTGCGCGCGTGTGTATGTGCGTGTGTGTGTGCGTGCCTGCGTGTGTGCGTGCGTGAGTGCGTGCTTGCGTGCGTGCGTGCGCTCTCGCGCGGGTGTGTTTGTGTGTGTGTGTGTGTGTGTGTGTGTGTGTGTGTGTGTGTGTGTGGCGTGTGTGCGTGCGTGTGTGCGTGCCTGCGTGTGTGCGTGCGTGAGTGCGTGGGCTTGCGTGGCGTGCGTGCGTCTCGGCGCGGTGTGTTTGTTGTGGTGTTGCTGTGTGTGTGTGTGTGTGTGTGTGTGTGTGTGTGTGTGTGTGCGTGCAGCTCGAAGATGAGTGGATATAGTGGACCTATTCACGTATCCGGAGGGCGCATGATATGATAAAAGTACACATTAAATTAATTGCATACGGTCTTTGATATGATAAGATGTTTTCCTACACCTACACTGATAAGGCGACGATCATTTAAAAGTCGACAAAGATTTGAGGAGAGCCTGCCGCGGGTGTGCTACGCATCTCATTAGTGTCTCAGTGTGCTAAGTGATTGCATTGGTAAATCCCTCGTGGTGGATATGTGTCCGACTCTAGTTTCAACGACCTTCGCTCCGTTCCTGAATGACGACTATAACGAATACAGAACGATATCGTTCTCGCGAACACCTATATCGGGTATTCGTTTTCAAACACATTTTGCTCATTGCCAAACGTTTTTTGTTAAGTTAAATAATTTATATCATTTAATTTTCTCTAATAACAAATAACTATAGTTATATTGCACAACCTAATATATATGTGCTTCATACTTATTTTATTTATTTATATTGAGCATTTTTTGTATATGAGATTTTTGCGGCCAATCAAGATGTAGCGAAGCAGCTGTATCTTAGTAATAATAAAGTGACGTACTGGGAATAAACATATTTACTTCAAACTACTTGAGAATGTTTGCTCTCTTTTTTGAACATATAGATTTTAATAAGTATTGTCGATTTTATCAGATACTAGCCTGGTACCCGGCGTTGCTCGGGAAAAAACGCGTAGGAACAACTTTTCAGAGCAAACTCAGCCACATCTATTTACTTACTTAATTCTAAAACATGTTCCCCCCCCCCCTTCACCCATACGATCCCCATCAGAAAGACAAAAGAAGCATAGTGGAAGCTATATTGTTCTCGCTTCTACTACACCATCATTTCCACTCATTTATCTACCTCGTCTGCTTCCTCAGCTATTGCTCCTAAAGGCCGCCGCACACCAGCCGATTTTACAAACGATGAAGCGATGAAGCGATGTAGGTGTGCGGCGGCCTTAAAATCGGCTCATCGGCTCATCAGCTCATCGGTTCAAAATCAAACATAATCCCGTACTTAATCCCGTACTTAATCAATTTGAGCATCTTCCTCTACTCCCGCTCATTTATCTCCTATATTGCGTGCATGTGTGTCTCTCGGTTCCTTGCACTTTGAGGATTAATCCTCAGGAGGTTACGAGGTTATTACTGCCCTAGCATGGAATTCTCTTCATTCGTTCTTGTCTACGTTTCTACTGCAAACGTTTTTAATTCAATTCAATTTCAATTAAACCAATTTATTTATCACCATAATTTGCAAAAATACAATGATGCAGTAGATGCAATTAACAAGAAAATGAAACGTTTTCTACTGCAAGCCGCAGTCTTTCTGTTCATCAGATTCAGGTTATAACCAGATAAATCTATCAATATATATCGTTTACACTCGCCTTCTTCGGTATTACACACAGTAAACAGGATCCACAATAAAATTATCAAACACATGACCTTCGCAAGGCCTAGAGAACATGTTACACCATACTTCTTGCAACTTGGTATGCTAAAACTTCCAGATATCTACCAACTAGAACTAGCAAAGCTAATGTACCGGTTCACTATCAACGAATTACCTGATCTGTTCAACAACTACTTCACCAATATCTCCAACGTACACTCTCACTCTACTCGACTTGCAGCTTCTATGTCCTATTACCTACCTAGGTTTAATACTAGTGTTGGATATAAGACACTAAAATTTGTAGGTGCGAAGCTCTGGACAGAGATTCCACTTCATATAAAAAACTTGCCCTATGCAAAATTTAAGCAATCCTACAGAAACATCCTAATTCAAAAGTACGAGTAACGGTTGCACTGTTCTATTCCGTTGTATATTTGATGTCAATTTAGCTATTACCATGTAATACGCTAATTACCTCTATAAAATTGTGTACAGATGTGTTTTCCAGTTATGTTTTGTTCACGATTCTATTCAGTTGTATGATTACTGTCCATGTAACTGTGTCATGAACCATGTCCTGTGTTCAACTGTGTATATATATATGTCCATTGAAGCTTTGTTTGTTGCTACAGTTTTTTGTTTGTTTATTGTTCACCTTTGTTCAAATTTCTTGTTCATTTTGATTTGATCATTTTGTTCACTCTCTCTCTGTCATGTTTTGCTGTTTCTTATACTGTATATATGTGCATTTTGCAGCTCTGTTGCCACGCAGCTCTAACATGTTGTATATTAGCTGTCAATGCAACTATTGTATCTATTTATAGTAACAATAGTAATAATCTATTGCGCCTATTTATATAGGTAAACGTGTGTGTATGTATGTATATATATATATTTGCCCATACATTACATTATTATTGTACAGATGTAAATTAGACCTCTGCCTGTTTTGTTCTGCTCATTCCGTTGTTCATTTTTGTTTAGTTTCTTGTTCACTGTTACTCGGTTTTATCGTTCATATGTTTGATCATCTTCGCTGTCATGTTTTTGCAGTTTCACATGCATGCTCACCATCCACTATGGCAACCAACTATATTATAATAATGACCAAACTGCCTAATATTAGTATGACATTTTATTTTGAGGGGTGGCAGACGTTGATAACCTGCGGGTTCTTTCGCCACTCCTGTGCTTCCTTTGTAAACTAGATTAACTTGACTTGTATATTTCCTATTTGCCGCTGTACACTGTATATACACGACTTATGCACAAAATAAACATATTGAATCTTAAATCTTGAATCTTGAATCTTGAATCTTGAATCTTGAATCTTGAATCTTGAATCTTGAATCTTGTATATAGTCTCTCGCACATTGAGTGCTGATTAATCTATGTGTCACCATGCGCAAGCTTAAAGGGACAGTAGCCTCTAGGATTTTACTGCATACAACTGTACTTACTGTATAACAAATCGTCTATACCCACATGTATTTGTCACCAGATACTTAATTAATTATTTACACATCAACGCTACGAAATTTGCGTTGCTGCCACCCTGAAAAAGTTGCGTATTTGCATTTTTATTTTGCAGGTAAATGACCGAGGGCTAATCACAAAAGTGCAATTATATTTATACCTAAATGCTATTTAACGGAACGATATTCATTTTAGGGCAAATTTATCCATATTATAACTGAAACTATATGTCGTTTATAAGATATTACAATCCTTTTGCTTTTAAATGAATAAATAAGAAATACCCTCGGTCTGTAGCCCTTGGCTGGAAAGTGGTTTTGCGCAACTTCTCAGTTCGTGCGCTTTGAGTGGCGCCACCGTCGTTGTAATCAAACTGTAGTCGTTAGTTTTAAAACATTTAAAAAAATTATTTCTAATGGTGATTGAACCATGAAACTTTTTATGTAGCGCAATTATAACCTAAATTAGCTGAAAATAACCCTAGAACCTAGAGGCTACTGTTCCTTTAAATAATCAATAAACGACCCCGCCAGCTACTACAGACAACTCCAATGGTCAGCATTTTTACCATTGGATATCATAAAGTCACTGATTATTGAGTAGAGGCGCTGCAGTCGGCCTGTAGTGGCAGTAGTCATCATGGCGAACAATAATAAGTGGGAAACCGTAAGGAAACCAAACAAAAAGCAGCCGACGAAACGCATGACAAAGGCCGAGAAGCAAGCGTATACCGACAATGCTCCGCGTATTATCGCATCACGTAATGACATATTTTTTATTCGTTAATCTGTGTAATATTCTCAAATTAAATAATTTTGTCAACGAAACTGTCACCGCTGCACTGCAGTGCCGGCCACGTCATCGCTAGGCAGATGTCGCAACAACATTAGTGGCCAGCTTCGCCGACTAGATTTCTTACTGTTGTGGCGCTGTATTAGCATGTGAAGTGCTTTAATTATATCCCTCCAATAACCGACAGAGTAATAATGCATTCACTATTTGCATGTAATTGCAACAGAAGTGCATGATGGCATCATATTTATAAACACCTCAGCATATCACCTACTCATAGTACATGACGGTTCATTCCCAGATAGTACGTGACCCAGATCCTATCATCCTACGTCATATTCATATATATATATATATATATTTATATCTATATATATCCATCTCCATGTGGGTCAGCAATGTGTGCTTTGGGGCCGGGCGGTACATTACACTGACAGTACATGTCTTCATCATATACTTCTACGTTCTAGTAATAACAGTTTCAACCGAAATCATCATAATGAAAAACTATTGCCAAAAACTCAAACTTGGATATAAATTACACCTTAAGATTACACCATTGTGTTATTGAACAACTGGCCACCCAATACAAAACTCTCGTGATTGTGTGAACACATGATGGCAGGGTGATCATAATGCAAAATATCAGATTACAATTACATCGTTATGCGAAATACTTTGGCAAATGAGTGAAGTGTGCATGGCAACGACTAGGGACACAATACTCACATACAAATTGGGTACTCTTCACAGAAGAAGAAAAGATAGACCTGTGTGGGTTTATATCTAAGGAGTAACCCAGATTTCAATAAGGCCATGAGAATTGAGGTATGAGTTTCCCGTCCGAGATATTTTGAAAAGTGAGGAGGCTTTTTTTCATTTTTTATTTTTCATTATTCATTTAATATTTGTAGTTAACCCATCCATTGTTCATGCGACATCCGCATACATGTGTGTAATAATTCATATTTTATTATCCGTGGTCGAATATTTTCTTCAAACTCATCAGATTCTATATTCATTGAGAAATACTTACGGCATTCAGCATTGCAAATTTATTGACAATTCGGAGCATTTATAATTTATGAACATCCGGAAAAGACACGGCAGAGAGAACGATTTCCATTGGTCAATCTTGGCGCAATGATGAGTTCCTGACCAATCTGAGCATCTGTTACTGTATGTGGCTCAATTATAGTGTATCACCGAACAGCTATCGCTGAACAGCTTGGCTGGTAGACTGGTACCCGGTCGTCCCACCTCTCGGCTTACTCCCATCAAGTAATCGAGGTGGGACGAGTACCAGTCTACTACTTGGCTGGTTTACCATTTCCAACTGGTAGCCTGGCACGTTTTTGGGATCGGGCTGTAAGTCGATGTACTCAGGATATCGTAACGTCACAATTGCCCTGTTGTATTGGTATTAATGTATGTTTTAATCGCTCTGAATGAACAACTTGGGCTTTAATGATTTAAAAATGAAAATAATGAAATACTTTTGAAATAATGAATATTTTCGGCGGTGGCTCTGACGGCATGCGGGCGGTGGACGGGAAACTCATATCTCAATTCTCATGGCCTAACAATGAAATTCCATAGGTGTGTGAGAATTATCTAGAGTACCGGTATGTTATATATAGTAAACTTCAGTAAGCGATTAATAGAGTAGCAATAACCGTTGTTACCCCAGTAATATGTGATGAAATATATCAGTGAAGTAAAATCCGAGTATTTGAAAATTGTTTAAATTACATCACAAATTTTATTATGTAACAGTAAAAGTTAACAACAGTGCGTGTGCGTGTGTGTGGATCGTGCAGTGATTTGTATCTTGCACTCATGCATGTGTAGTCATGGGCAGCACACAGTGTATGAAGGATAACTCGTTTGTTTTAGCGCCTCTTAAGGAGTCGAAGACGTTGTACGACGCGTTCATAGAGCAGGACAAGAAGGCTACAGAGCACCATCAGTCATCGCAGGAACACAAGAATGGCATCGCGGGCAAGCAACAATCACCATCACAGCAGAAGAAGAAGAAGCCCCACGTGCAGAAGGATCACAAGGAAGGCGGTGGCCGCACTCTGGAGGAAGTTGCCAAAGAGGTGCTCTGCCTGAAAGGAGACTCATTTAATTTCAATTAAATTTAAATGGTTAAAATCCGGAACTTTATTCCAGAGACTCTTTTCAAGACATTACAGCGATGCTAGGGAATTGCCCTAGTAATTGGTTCACAAACGAGAATATATGTACAGTACTACCTTGGTACTTTTTGTAGGGTTACCTTGGCATGTCTGTGGTGTCGCCTCGTTGCCATGTTGGCCTTATATAAATGGCTGCTTTGAGATTGACAGGGATTAGAGCACAATGAAAATTACTTACTGCACATGCTTGATGTTAAATATAGCTCAGCTCCAAGAGCCTGGAGAAATTTCTGAACATGGACCAGACCAAGTTTCCAGACAACCCGACAATATGGTTGAAGGACCTGGCTTCGTATCTCAACCTGGAGCTTCACGTTCCTGAGAAGGACCCACTATTCACTGGTCAGCCTGTTGGTAGGTTTACTGACCCTTGGTAGCCCACCTGTCTCTGTTCGACACGTTTTATGGTGAATGTTAAATCACCCATGTCTGTGGCTGCAGTTTTCTTTGTTGTTGGGGGCCAACTCCTTGACCGCATAAAAAAACGAATGAACACAAACCCCGTACTGAAAAGAAGTACAGGCCATATGTACCCCATGGGAACAAAGACTAAACAAGTAAATACGCCTTTCTCATAACGATTTTTTTAAACTCTATAAGTGCTTCACTAAATAAACAAACAATAATAAACGAAAATGATGCCACGAGGTAATAGACTGTTTTAGACACAACTCTGCTGCACTGTCCCATTTAGAAGTCTGAGTATGATCACCAGGCTTTCGGGGCATGAACTTCGGAAAAACGCAATTAAAGTGATTATGTCACTGTAAATAGTATGAAAAGTATGTAAAAGTAAAAAAATCATGTCGACTTTTTCACAAAATGTAAGTGATCCAGTTAACTTTTTATTATTAAATTGCTGCATTATACTTGTTATTTTACTATTCTGTTCAATGTTAACAAACACTCATGACTCATACATAGCCCATAGCAAGCATTTAATGTCATGATAAATATATCAAATTGCCCAGGTTTTTTTGGATTTTTAACTTGTTGAAAAACAATCTTATCGGGTAAGAATTTGATGATACATTTAGTCTCGTTAGTACTTACTTTTCATGTAAAAAAATTGGAACACCAATTTTTTTTACAAATATACACTATAGAAAATTTGTGACATAGTCAATTTAATGGTTGCCACGTTGGTTTTCTTGTTGCAGACTACCCGCTGTGTAAGCTGCCGAAGGTCGTTCAGAAGCTGATGCTGACTACGATGAGGAAGTCAGGAGCCAGCGTTCAACAACTGTTCCTCGAACACTGTGTGCGCTCTACGATCACCGACTCCAGCAAAGGTGCGAGAGAGAGAGGGAGAGGGAGGGAGAGGGAGGGAGGGAGGGAGGAGAGAGAGAGAGAGAGGGAGATGGAGAGAGAGAGAGAGCGAGAGAGAGAGAGTGCGCGAAAGAGAGAGAGAGAGAGAGAGAGAGAGCGCGCGAGGGAGAGAGAGAGCCGCATGTTGCCCCGCAAGTGTTAACATGAGTGCTGAACGTACTGGCAATGTCGTAGGCAGTGTCGTTGTTAGCGGAAGTGGCAAAAGTACCGTGGTTATTACTTTTCAGTAATAATGGAAGTAGTTAGTGTCTTAGGGCTGCATGCACACACACGTGCTTGTGTACACTGGTGTATCTACATGCTAGTCAAATATGTATGTCTTAGAAGCAATATAAGTGTGTAATACGTGTGTGCTGGAGGTTTTTTTTGGCTGCAGGTTTGTCGACCTATGGCTACCGTGTATGCATCCAGTCTCTACTTCACGCGAACCCCCAGATTGTCACTGATGACATCAGCAAGGTATAATATGTTGCAGCATGGAAAAGTCTTCACCGTGATATATTTATAATCTTTGGTCAAACCCATATTATGAGGATTATTGAAGGGAAGCACCAGACATGTCATTTATCTGCAGGTGTCTGTGGTACATTAGAGGTTGATCACTGTATAACTACAACCAGAGCGAATCTCCAAAAGTGTCTATTTTATACTAGTGGCTGTTCTATTGAGGTTACCAAGGAAACACGTTTCATTGTACATCCATTATCAAACCATCCATTATCAAACCATGTGAAAATTGCTAGCATAATTATAGTTCTGTGCAGGTGCATGTATTAATGAGATTTTACCACTGCGTGTTTGTAGTACAATGACATGCTGAAGTCGAATCAGAGTCACCCGATACGCTGTGCGCTGATTTTGTGGGCGCTGTCGCAGGCAGGCGTTAAGAACCTTGGGACGGGTCTGAGAGGTACTTGGTTTTATCCGTGTGTTCTCGTATACGTGATTATCGGAATGGTTAACCTGCACCTCTCATTGAACGTTGCTCTCGTACGTGATCTTTGGTCGTAGCGATGTTTTTCTACTGCAAAACACCTCGCGATTCGTCTTATGTTGTGTTTGATTTTTTAAATGATATTAATATATATATCTCGTATAGATATTCTCATACAGAAAATAACCGTGGACATAAATAAGAACTTGTTTGTCAATTTGTCACTTGTTTATTTAACAATGACCACTTTTATCTGCAAAGATAGAAATAGCATTCATTCAGATACGTGTACATCAATAATATCATCTACCTTTGCAGTCTGGTTGGATGTCATGCTACCATTGTTAGGCGTTCGGAGTATGTCCGGTTATGTCGTGAGCAACCTGGAAAGCTTATTCAGGTGAGGGAACGTGATGAGCCTATAGGTCATACCTGGTTTCAGGGGAGAATCACGCTGTGCAGTGACCGAAGGTCCCTGATTAAACATGACTATGGGCGCGCGTTTGTTTGGAACGAAACCGTCTGATCAGGATCAGTTGATCCAGATTGCCCTATACAAACGCAAACTCATTTTCGACGATTCACGTTTCGCTGTGACCTACCACGGGATGGTTCATAATAAACAACAAGCTTTGATTGGCTGGATCGCACACCGCCATATTGGATCCCCTGCCAATCTACCTCGCAAGCAGGTTCAGGAATTTGTGATCCGGATCACTGATCAGCCGAAACAAATGCGCAGTAAATAAACAATGCAAAATAACAACAACAAATAACAAATAATAAATAACAAAATAAATGCATAATTTAGTGAGGCGGAATGATGCTATCGGTACTTGCTTAGAAACCTGTAGCGAAAACTGATGAGACTAGATGAATGAGTGAGACCATGGAGTGCATTGGGACTCTTGGCTATCCACGCGTAGGTCCTGGTGACCTTATGACATATATATAAATAATTATTAGATTAAGATATCCTAATTATGACATTTCTTCTTAAGTTTTTTCGATGTAGCTCGTGTGTAGTTCTGTCAAAATATATGAACCAAGTATGCTGTTCTTTGGAAGATTATGCGAGATAGATTTCTGAGAGTGAAAAGACGAGCCCGTGACAGCTGAGCATCTTCTTCTATGTCGTTTCAGTTGCCATGACAACCTACAGTCAGCGTACGGTGTGGTGGGCATGCGTGAGTTCTTTCAGATCCTTGACATTGTCTATGCGTCGAACTCGAGCCTCTCGCATGCCTTACAGAAGCGCATGCTGAAACTCTACCCCAAGATCAAGGTGAGGATGATGCTGGCAGGTGGCGCTGGCGATAATTGGGTAGATCGGGGTGTTAATGTGCCATCCCAGCGTACATGTTTACTTGTTATGCATGCAGCTCTGCCGCTGCTGCTGCTGCTGCTGCTGCTGGTGGTGGTGGTGGTGGTGGTGCTGTTGCTGATGCTGATGCTGCTGCTGCTGCTGGTGGTGGTGGTGGTGGTGCTGTTGCTGCTGCTGATGCTGATGTTGATGCTGCAGCTACTGCTGGTGCCGCTGCTGCTGCTGCTGCCATTGTTAGTGCGTTGTTGTTGTTGTCATATACGTGTTTTTGTTGTTGGTGGTCGTGCTGCTGTTTTTGTTTCTTCCGTTATTGCTTCCCATGTGAGGTTATTGATAATTGACAATGATTTCAAAAATCGTGAATTTCGTGAAAGTTGCATAAAACGTTACATCCCGCTTTGCTGAATCGGCAAACATTCGTGTTTGCTCCATGGTCGACATATGCGGAAGTCAGGTATGTGTGTGCACGGCGTTGCATCACCCACTGCCACTTGCCTGCTCTGTATTGGCATACATGTGGCTAGGATCCAGGGTGATGTGAGGTGGAAAACTTCACCTAGCTGGAAATGCCATGTAAACATACCTAATGCCTTATGTCAACAAGAAACAGCTGTAGCTGCAACTCTCTGTAAACCTATGTTGCTCTAAATGCCTAACTACTGTAACTGTTAATGCGAAACAACTGTGGCTAACTGCAAACGAATGTACCTGTAAATGTGAAACACAGTGAGTGTAACCCTAGTTGTAAATGACTGTAACTGTAAGTGTAATCAAGTATACATATGTAAATTACCATATCTGTAAGTGTAAACGGTTGTAAATGTAACTTTACAAGATTAGGTATACCTGTAAAAACCACAACTGTGAGGGTAGGCAGCTGTGAGTGTGATTGTAAACGGCTGTAAGTGTAGCGTGAAATACGTAACCAGGGTTCTCCAAGAGCACTTATAGCCTGGCGGCCCGCCAGGCTATCGTTGAGCCCCGCCATCCTAAAATGCACCCGCCACTCTAAATATTATAGCCGCCATGCTAAACATCATAGCCCCTGGACCCTCCTAGCACGCAAACCGCCTTCGGCGATTTGCAACTAGGACTGTAAAGGCAGCACCCCCATGCTATAATGAAAAAGCTTGGAGAACTCTGGTAACACGTCTCGCTCTGGTTTTCTGCTGCAGACGCTCGCGTTTGGAGAATGCACGAAGCTGAGTGGCTTCTTCCCATCACTCATGTCGAGGCTCACCCCGACCTGCCCCACGCCACTGAAGGAGGAGGTATTTATCGTCCGTGTCGACTCGCTTCCTCTCCCGCTCGTGTTCGCGAACGCGCAAGGTGTTCGATCTGCCGCGTGAACGGCAGGCGGGACAACTGACAAACTCGCATGCGTGAAGATGCCTGATAGTTCATTTATCACTCGGTTAAAACAATGTTCATCTTGGATGCTACAAAATTCCGTCTCGGTTTTTAAAACGAGGTATTAACGAGAGGGATTGGAGGGCATGTGCACGTGGCCAGGTAATCTCCCTCTTGGATTTCACGGGGAGGACTAAATTTCCCCTTTGGTCGTGACAAAACAGATTTCTCTATTTTCTAGCTGCTTGCTTGTCTTGCTACGTGCTTGACAAAAGACAACCATTGCTATAGCCCCTGGAGACAGATGTATGAGAAACACCTACGCCAGTCTAGGTATGAAGTTTATCATGGATGGCATTTGTTCAGGGATCTTTTAGACTTTGCTTTCTTTTGTTTTACATATATAGTCAGCAAAGGTTTTTTGAAGATAGTGTATAATATTAGCTTTAAGGGGTTGTTCACAATTATCAACATTTTCACAAGCGTACAAACCGTACGCTTTTTTGAGACCCCCCCCCTTTCCCCCTAAAAGTATACGAAGAAAAATGTTGATTTTTTTTCACACTATTCTACATAGAGATACATGTATATGAATTACATGTAAACCCTGTTATTGCAAGCGCGGATATAACGAAATCTTGATATAAAGAATGAGATTTTCTGGCACAAACAAGTGGAAAGAGATCAAAATTATTAAATATTGTTTATAATAAATAATATTTTATTAAGCCGGGGCTCGGCGCGTCGCGGCGTGAAGATGCACACGGTGCGGGAAATGGATCGACATTTTTCGGAAATGCTGAAAGCTTACGGCGGGCATTGACCCCTCCCCCCCCCAGCGTACGGTTTGTACGCTTGTGAAAATGTTGATTATTGTGAACGACCCCTAAATGAGGAGCATGCATTAAATTCTTTTTCCTTTTTCTTTCTTTTTCGTTCCACGATCACTGTATAGTAGTGTAGTGTTACTGACCTGAGCATCACTCTGTTCCTGTTCAACTATATGGACATTGTCATCATCAATGCCTCATACTGCCAAAGAGGCATCTGACACTCTGTCCTTTCCCACATTATTAGTGGCGCTCTCTAGCATCGCTCTAAATATATTCATCTCGCCATGTGTTTCCCAACGTTGTCGGCGGCGCTCCCTACCCTCGTGTTGCTGGTGGCGCTCCCTAGCATCGCTCTAAATATATTCATCTCGCCATGTGTTTCCCAACGTTGTCGGCGGCGCTCCCTGCCCTCGTGTTGCTGGTGGCGCCCCCTAGTATCGCTCTAAATATATTCATCTCGCCATGTGTTTCCCAACGTTGTCGGCGGCGCTCCCTGCCCTCGCGTTGGTAGTGGCGCCACCTAGCGTCAGCGCCACCTAGCGTCAGCGCGCACTTGTGTTTCAGCATCCTCATGGACCACCTGCTCGCCGTGTGGAGCATGCTGAAGATTGATGTGAAGCAGCTGCGTGACACCGTGCGCAGCTTCATGGTAACCAACGACGACCTGGCCACCGCCGCCGCGCAGCCAGGCGGCCGCCGACCAGAGGGTCATGACGAGTGCGTGCGCACTTGCAAGGTGAGTGCTGCTGGGCCATGCTTGTTAAAGGCATAATAGGCCCATTGATTATACAAAGTTGACGAATGCTACAGTAACTGGCATGCAGCAGTGATATTGGACAAACTAATACGCGTTTGACTATAAGGTAATGTACTTATTAACTACAGAAGGGACATTTCTTAGTAATTAACCAGATTTACGGATTTCAATTAAATCTGGTGCCAACGCTAAATTGGTTGCCAAGCAAAATAGCCTCGAATTCGGTTAGGCAACGTCATATGTTGCTACGGGTGTTTAGCAGAGAATTGTTTGTCCCGGGATGTTTATATATGACTAATGAGCTAGTAGAATGTATCTCTGGGTGTATTCTTGGTATTGAGGCACAAGTACCCACATGTCTTCAATTTCAGACACAGGTGTATTCGTTTGACCAATATACGTAAATACGCGTAGTGCCGTCTGCTTTCCATGTTTAGTCTGTGGCCTTGGTTAGTCCGCGATCCTCCCATAGCGTTGTGGCCCCAAACACGCCTACTTCATTATCACGAGCGTCCGTGATTCGTAGCGTGGATTCCACGTTCATTACAATCAGAGCTACTGTTACGTATATACAGTTACGGTACTGTACTATCGCTAGCATTGCGTACGGCCGAGCGAAAATGCATGCGTGCGTGCGTTTTTGCATGCGTGCGAAAATGTCCGGTGGACTATAAATCTGTATCACACCCGTTTCGAATTATGCGGTTTCGAAACTGTAAACAAGTCAGTCAACTGATTTCGTGGACTGCTGATTTCAATTAGACATTTATTGGACAACTAATATGCGTTGCTATAAGGTAATGTACTTATTAACTACACAAGGTGCCAGTTACTCTAGCATTCGTTAAAATTGCATAATCGATGGCCTATTATGCCTTTAACACACCTGTCACGTTTACCTGGTCTCCCGTGCAGTTGCGTGTCTCGGTGACATTTGTCATTTTAGTGACAGTTGTTGTAGTCATTTCTCCTTTAGTTTTAGCGACAATTGTCATTCTTGCCACCATTGTCACATTAGTACATATTTTACCTGTTCACGGCTGTTATTCTGTCACAGTTGTTGTGGTATTTGCTGTTCATTCAGTCACACCTATGATTCTAGTCACAACTGCTACACTCATAACTAGACTCCTTCCTCTCTTCACACAAGTATTGTTACGCATGTGCACTTAATTTAGGGATAGTGATTTTCCGCGATCGCGGGAAACGGACGGAAAACACGGAAATGGCCATTGAAATGGAAAAAGATGTTTTCAAACAGAAAAATGCGGAAAACGTAATTTGAACATATTACAACATGGAAATTTCAATAAAATCACACACAAAACCGTCGACAATAGCATTGGTAATGATATGGTTTACATTCAGACAAGTTTCAGAGCGAAATGACTTACAATTACGACTTTTGGTAGCCCTGTGTTTCGGTGCTACCAAAAAAATATTTCCATGCAAATATATGTAAATGGAATTTTGCATTTTTGGTGTGTTCAACTGGTACAATCTCTATGGCAAAACGGAATTTCCATATTTTCTTTACTTCGAAATGGAATTCATGATTTCCCCCAAACAGAAAAGGAAATTTTTTGAAACAGAAAATCACTGTCCCTAATAATTGTACCTGTCGTTTTTTCCATGATTGTTGAACTCACACCTGTGCACTTGGTCTTACTGTCATTCTATATCACTTGTTTACTCACTTGTTTACCTAACCACACCTGTCATTCTTGTCACGGTTTCTTTTTGTCACAGCTGATATGGATATGGATAAGAAGGAAAATAGAAGGAGGCAGGTTAGAACGGGGAAGAGGGGGAGAGACAATAAGTAGAGAACATGAGAGGAGAAGACAGGGTAGTGAAAGCAGAGTAGGGACGCCGCTCTACCGTTTCCTCATTGTGCTGACCCGTGCATGTGTGTATGTGAATGTATATGCCGCCCCCCCGGCCAGTACGCCTTGTGCAACTTATCAGAGTAGGTATCAGTTTGGTAACGCCCACAGGATGTCAGCGGCTGACTAAGCAGTCATGGAGTCGCACTTTGTAGCCGCTCTTACTGCTGTCACTGTCACACATTTAACTCGTAGGTTACTGTAAGTATTGTAGAAATAACCGAGAATAAAAGGGTGAACGTTAATATTAGTAGAAAGTTTAAAATACGTTTTAGTGTTAGCTGCACAAAAGTTTGCTTTCAGGTTTATATGCTTGTATGCTGTTTTATTATATTTAAATGCATTCCGTGTCCATAGTACATTCCAACTGCATTCTGTTAGGCTTGTTTGACTCTAGTTAGATATAGGTTTTAAGTTTGCTAATTTACTTGCAGTCATATAGAATAATTTTACGTTTCCCTGGTATCTAAATTTAAAACTAAAAAATAAAAATAAAAATTCCATTCTATCAAAAAGTCTACCTCATTCGCTTTTCCCAGTTGAAAGCCAAGTGCCGGTATGTGTTTCAACACTCTAGTTTTTGCATTTGCTGAGACCTGTTCCCCTGAGTTTGGCCTGCAGATAACTTCATCTCACATTTGAGCCACCAGTTGCAGCTCCACAGTATATAAAACCTGTCACATGTTGAACAGAATGTGTGCTCTCGTGTCTCATGTCTACATATCCTTGCTCTATGTAGGGTGAGCTGTTGCTGTGACATTGCTTCTGTCTCATGTCTACATATCCTTGCTCTATGTAGGGTGAGCTGCTTGCTGGGACATTGCTTCTGTCTCATGTCTACATATCCTTACTCTATGTAGGGTGAGCTGTTGCTGTGACATTGCTTCTGTTCAGTCTACATATCCTTACTCTATGTAGGGTGAGCTGTTGCTGTGACATTGCTTCTGTCTCATGTCTACATATCCTTGCTCTATGTAGGGTGAGCTGTTGCTGCGACATTGCTTCTGTCTCATGTCTACAGTCTACATATCCTTACTCTATGTAGGGTGAGCTGTTGCTGCGACATTGCTTCTGTCTCATGTCTACAGTCTACATATCCTTACTCTATGTAGGGTGAGCTGTTGCTGCGACATTGCTTCTGTCTCATGTCTACAGTCTCATATCCTTGCTCTATGTAGGGTGAGCTGTTGCTGCGACATTGCTTCTGTCTCATGTCTACAGTCTACATATCCTTACTCTATGTAGGGTGAGCTGTTGCTGCGACATTGCTTCTGTCTCATGTCTACAGTCTACATATCCTTACTCTATGGAGGGTGAGCTGTTGCTGCGACATTGCCTCTGTCTCATGTCTACATATCCTTACTCTATGTAGGGTGAGCTGTGCTGTGGCTGTGGCTCATCACCGACATTGCTTCTGATTGCTTGTTGTAGGAGCTGATGGCGAAGATGTCCGGGTGGAAGTTCCCAAGTTCTTGCTGGCTGCTCGTCCTCGCTGCACTGGGCGGCGTTATCGTATAGACGTGCACCAACACTCCGGCTTCAAAGGTGAGGGACAGCACCATACTAGTTAGATCCCATCCATGCCTGAAGACTGTGGAAGGTGTGAGGGAATATGTGGTGGGTGACGGACCAACCTAATGTTACTAGTTAGATCCCATCCGTGCCTGAAGACCCGTGGAAGGTGTGAGGGAATATCTGGTGGGTGACGGCATCATCTATGTTACTAGTTAGATCCCATCCATGCCTGAAGACGTGGAGGTGTGAGGGAATATGTGGTGGGTGACGGCACCATCTATGTTACTAGTTAGATCCCATCCATGCCTGAAGACCGTGGAAGGTGTGAGGGAATATGTGGTGGGTGACGGCACCACCTATGTTACTAGTTAGATCCCATCCATGCCTGAAGACCAATGGAAGGTGTGAGGGAATATGTGGTGGGTGACGGCACCACCTATGTTACTAGTTAGATCCCACCATGCCTGAAGACCATGGAAGGTGTGAGGAATATGTGGTGGGTGACGGCACCACCTATGTTACTAGTTAGATCCATCCATGCTGAAGACCGTGGAAGGTGTGAGGAATATGTGGTGGGTGACGGCATCATCTATGTTACTAGTTAGATCCCATCCATGCCTGAAGACCGTGGAAGGTGTGAGGAATATGTGGTGGTGACGGCACCACCTATGTTACTAGTTAGATCCCATCCATGCCTGAAGACCGTGGAAGGTGTGAGGGAATATGTGGTGGGTGACGGCACCACCTATGTTACTAGTTAGATCCCATCCATGCCTGAAGACCATGGAAGGTGAGAGGGAATATGAGGCTCTACCACTGTTTGCGTTTAGACCAAGAGCATTTTACAGAAGCAATAGGAAGTATATAGTTCTACGTATACAGTGGACCCCCGAGATATGAATTTAATTTGTTCCAACAGTCACGAAAAATTCTCATCTCGAACCTTATATAGGACGTACCAGCAATTTACGTACAGCAAGTGCAATCATAAGAGCACAACCACATCAATGAGTCGCGTACTTAAACTGACTCTGACCGAAAGAGCATGCGCTAGGCCTATGCACATGATTGGTGATTCGTAAGACATTCGTATGTTGAATTTTATTCGTTTGTCGAATACATTACGTTCAACGAGAGGTCGTTCGTATGTCGAGCCGTTCGTATCTCGTGGGTCCACTGTATCTATATATTGTGTAGTATGTTATAAAGAATCATCTATTCTCTCACAAATGTACTACTGATGTTATATTTATCGCGAGTTTATGAATCACTGGTATCACACAAATGGTTGAGGAAGCAACTCACGTTTCACTGTATGAGTATATAGTTATTGCTGTACGCTACAGACTATAGTATATAAAGTCAACTCTCCCAATATTGACCACCCTCCGGGACCATCCATTTAGTTAAGTTTACTGTGAAGTTCAGTTTATAGGGCCTATTCTAGGCATATCTTTCATCAGTCTTGGATAGTGTTGAGACTTAAAAATCGTCCGGTTTAAGGTGAGATTAAGTTTTGAAGGCATTGAAAGTTTTGGAGAGTTGAGTGTAGTATCTCATATAGTTACTCTGTTGATTTGTTGACAAATATGACAAAATATATCGTATAGTTAGTTAAGCTGTGGTCATGTGGAATGTGAGCTATCTTTTCACACACTTATCTTACACCAGGTTCCTATGCTGTTGTCTAATAATATTTTGACAAATACTGAATTCTCATTCGTTAATTGAGAAAGACATACAGTGTTCTATGTTATGGAATTGTTATGAAGTGGCACGATTTGCTGCACATTCTTCTTCTTCTTCTACTTCTTCTTCTTCTATTCTTTTTCTTCTTATTGTTATTATTATTATTATTATTATTATTATTATTATATAGTTGCTGCTGTTATTGTTATTATTATTAATGTTATTGTTTTGTTGTTTATTGTGTGGTTGCAGGGTCCAGGACGGGCAGTGCTGCATGATACGGGGGTGCTAGCCGTCGCTGAACATGTGTGGCAGCGGACTGAGGCATACACGGAGAAGTCGTGGCGGTAAGGCAGACAACAGACACCGCGGTGGCCGCCAGCCGCTCCCACGGCACGGAACCCTAACTACTCTGTGTGTCTGAATTTACTAAAGATATGAGAGATTAATGGAT